AACTGACATGATCTCTCACTGGGTTGATATCAGACATTAAGCTAGCAGATAATTCAAGCAGCAAAATAAGAAACAAACATACATTTTGTGTTGTAATGTTTTAAATCTGCTTTTATCCACCCACACAACATTCAGTACACTTCAAAATGAGCTTGGGGTATGCGGTGGAGAGACGCCCACATAGAAGACTGGAAGTATATACCAATTCATACTATGGCATAGCTTGTAATGTGGTATCTTTGGAAAGAGTAACAGAGAGAGGGACAGAGAAGGTGGACTATTGCACACAATGGTTAATATAACCTGTAATGTTTCTTTAAGTTATAAATTACCTATGATATTTGTAAGCACCACGAGTTGACATGTGCATCACAAGACATGAGCCTATTCATCGGAGATTCCTCCTGGTGAAGGATCTTATGGTATGTGACCCCTTCGTTGCTGGTCAGTCATGTAGTGTGAAAACCACAATGACTCCCAATCACAAGACAAGTTGTGCAGTGTGAAAAGTACTTTGGAAGTTGCGTAGTGTGAACTGAGCTTAAAACAACTCTTGCAAACCATACAGTCAGCAACAGGGAATGCACTCAGTGCAGATAATGCTTTTGCCTTTTCTGGACCGACAATATCCCAGAAAGGTTGGATCTGTAGAGTAGGGATGGGCAGCACAAGCAAAAACACTATTCGAAAATCATGGCAACTATTCGACGATTTTTCGAATAATCGCCTCCACTGACTGCGTACGGAAGCGACACGTAGAGAAGCCAGCGGGGTTGTTTACCGTTTGCCGAGCCGAGAGGCTGCATGTAGGCTGCATGAAATGTTAAAGTTATTAGATATATTTGAGTTATCTACAAGTTTACTGTACTGTTTGTCATCTAGGCTACTCGCTTTCAAATGTCCACCACAGACATTTACACAATGTCACGGATAAACATGGGTAAATGCATGGAAAAAAAGGTCATCACATATCACCTCTGATAATGGTTTATTCATTTAAAAACACATTGTGCTCGTTTAGCACACTATTTCATGTAGTTTTTATCTGCTGGAGGGTCGCGTAGGGGAGCGTAGCGCGACAAAAATAGAAGAGCCGCGTAAAATAGAGAGCTATCGTGCGACAGACGGGGGTTGTCGCGCTGCTCCCGTTGCCGGTGGAGCCGCTGTAATTGATTAACTGGGGGGCGAGCTGCTACGGGACTCGCGCTGCAGACGTGTCGCGCCGCTGAGCCCGGCCGTACGGTCCCTCGCCGCCTCCTGCGTGCCTCGCTCTCAAATGACTGTGCATACGTGTTGTAGACTTGTGATATGCAAGCTTTGCCTCACAGAGTTTGCACTGCACCTCATTTTCGTTTATTTTGTCAAAGTTGTTCCACACGGAACTTTTTGATGACTGTAGTAGTCTCTGCATGTTTCTCCTGTTTGTAGAAGAGCATCAAACTAGCTGGTAACCCATCTCACACCGCTGTAGCAATCCTATACTGCCCTCGTGCGGTTAGGAGCTGAATTGCATGTCAAATAAAGGGGGGAAATAAGACGGCGAATAGTAACAGTCGCATTAAAAAAATCGATTTTTCAAAATAAAACGACTATTCAAAAATTCGAAAATCGTGACCCATCCCTACTGTAGAGCACCTGATGCCATCAAGATTGCAGTGGTCTTTGAAAACAAGTCATAGTTGGCCATAGTGTTGTCACGATACCAAAATCTTTGTTTCGATACCAATACCAATATGAATTTCGATACTTTTCGGTACTGAAGAGTATCCGAAGAGTACTTTTCCTAAGTACTAAGTCCTAAGATACAAACCTTTAGAACAATAAATACTGTAGGGGAGTAACGGTACCAAAAAAATCATGGTTCGGTAAGTACCTTGGTACGGACGTCAGTTTGGTAACTCAAATGTTCCACCAAGTTTGTGTTGTCTCGTGTTGTCTCCCTTTGCGAGGCAGACTTTCTCTTGTCTTTTTTCACGTGCGCCAGCTGCGAATGTTGATACAGGTGTTGTCATACACACCACTTGCGCAATCTGTGCTCCAATAGGATCAAGAAAGGCGTTTGTGTGCATAAATGAGTAAAATAAATTATCTAAATTAATGAATTGAATCAATTTCAAAGTACCAGTATTTTCCAAATGCAGTATAGTACCGTTTGGAATACTCTAGTACCGCGGTACTATTTTAGTACCGGTATACCGTGCAACACTAGTTGGCCATTGCCAAAAGCAGGACATCTGTGTCAGGAGAGAAGACAGTAAGTTGAACATCTACAGATTTTGATTCGCCCTACTAATAGGGGGGAAAAAACGCTCTGGCTTGTTTTTGTGTCTCTAAACCAATCACAATCATCCAGGGTGGTGCTAGCTCAGTCCATAGGGACTTGTGTTGAGAACCAGAGGGTCATTTGTTCAAGTCCCCGTTAACCTCCTGGGCACTGCTGAAGAGCCCCTGAGCAAGGCACCGAACCCCCGACTGCTCGGGGCGCCTGTCCACGGACAGCCCCCTCACTCTGACATTTCTCCATTTAATGCATGTATAGGTTCTGTTGGTGCATGTGTGTTTTTCAGGCCTGTGTGTATATGACAACAGGGTGAAAAAAATTTGAAAAAAAGTATATTTTCTTCTTCTGATATGCTTACTGGTCAAAATCTCTTTTTCTGTTTTATGTTTATAAAGACAAATGTTATCTTTTTAATCACAAAATCTGCATTGATTTTCAATTCAAGTCAATATTATTAGAAAAAAAAGTAAATTATTCAAGCTGCAACTACAGTAAGTGTGGAGGGATGATCAACTTTCTGTGATTAACTTAACAGTCACACCTTTGTGTTGTGAACCAGCAGAGGGCGACAGGAAACCAAAACCCAGATCACCTGAAACAAACTCACTGTCAGAAATCAACAATCTTTGATTTACTAGAAATGGTTAACTGAGCATTGAAGCCAAAATAGTAGATATATGAACAACTGAATCAGGGTGTCTACAGGTATCAGTTCAATTTAAGACCCTTTCATGACACTTTTAATCAAATTTAGGACAGATGTTTGGGCAAATTATGTTTTACTTATTAAAGCATAACAGGTAGGCATTGCAGGTAAGTAGTATATAGCCTATGTGGTCTTGTGTAGAGGTAAGTCTTATGTAGAAATATGGTTATTAGAGGGAGTAAAACTGATGTACATTTTGCAAACAGGTAAGTGCAAGTGTAAAGTAAAATTAATGTTAAAAACGTGGACTTTTACATAGAAAGGCTTCACTCATTTTAACAAAAAGACACTAAACAAATGGATAAATGTAATTAGATAAAATTACCTCACAAATTCAGGTTTAAGACAATTTAATGACTTTTGAGGCCTTATTGTTGTAACATTGAATTTAAGACATTTAAAGACTTTTTAAGGACCTGTGGACACCCTGTGAATATCAAACTCTAAGTAATTAATCAATAAATCTGTAACTGAACATCAAATTAACTGTAAAATTTTTTTAGCTGGGAGCAATTTTTATTTTTTTGAACCATTATTTTCCCTTAAATCCAACCTGAGACTGTCAGGTACACAGTGACATCATCTTACTGTCTTCAAAATACCTTCTTCATGATTCACACAACATAAAAAATAAGACCAGGTCAAAACCTAAAAACCAGATAAATCAAAGTGAAAAAATGTGAAATAATAAATACTGAATTTCAGCTCTAAATGTTCTTTTTATTTTATTCTTCTGGTTAAAATGTAACTCCAGGTTATTATAACTATATTCATTCATCCACTTATCCTGTTGGGGGTTGCGGGGGCACTGGAGCCTAATCCAGCTGACATTGGGCGAGAGGCAGGGTACACCCTGGACAGGTCAGATAGTTAGGTCTGGACTATCACAGTGCTGACACATAGAGACAGACAACCATTCACGCTCACATTCACACCTACGGACAATTTAGAGTCACCAATTAACCTACACTTCTTTGGACTGTGGGGGGAAGCCGGAGCACCCGGAGAAAACCCATGCTGACATGGGAAGAACATGCAAACTCCACAAGGAATGGCTCCCCCACCCCAGGGTTCGAAGCAGGAACCCTTTTGCTGTGAGGCAACAATGCTAACCACTTAACCACTGTGCCCTCTATTGGTTAAAACATAACTCCAGTTTGTTAGAATGATAAAAAAACAAAAACAGATTGATCCTTTTTTCAGTTTTAATTCCACATGAGGAGTCTCAGACATTTGTAATCATTCATTACAGACTTGACGTAACATAACAGAGACTCTCTGTCAGTGTGTTAGTGTTAAAAAAAAAAGTGATTAATCAATATCTAAAAAAAAAACTCTGTGAACTCATTAGTCATCACTGAAATAGGTTGATTCATAAATTAACAAATGCCAGTACAGAAACAGACATATTGATGCATAAAAGGAAATGTGCATCCAAACATTAACTGTCTTTGAAGTTCTCTGAGATACTGACAGTACAAATACAGCAGAACACTGTGATGGAGGACAGCTGTGAATCGAACCTCCTTCTTAATTTTACACACAGTTTAATCCACAGACTGTATATAAAGATAGATGACTTGTTTCCACTTCCTCTCACTGTACAAAAATGAAGTCAAAAAATCCTGGATACAGGCACCACCATCTTGCACTGGTGATGTAAACAACTGAACATCAGCATGATACCCAAAACAACAAAAAACATCTTTGGGAAAAATTAATTTGATGTGTACTTTAAGTTTTTAGTTTGGCTCATATCCCTTCACTAACTATGAAGGGGACGAGGTTTAGGTTACCTTAGAAGAGGTCTATATCTTGTCCTTTTATTAAACAAACTAAACAGCCCTATGTTATTTATCTTACTTACACGACGGCATGTCATTTCTGTCTCTGCGAGCGCGCACGCACGCACGCACGCACACACACACACACACGCACACACACACACACGCACACACACACACACACACACACACACACACAGATGAGCACACTAGAGTGCGGCTCGGGCCGCATTTTCCTGACCATCAAAACACTGCTGTTATGCACAGTCAAACACGCCGCTCGCACAGCAGCGCAGCACGGCAGTCTTCACACACTCAATTAGAGTGGAGCCTGTGTTGCATTCAGGCGTTGACACGTAAATAACAAGAAAAAAAAAGTAACCTAGGAGAAACACTGACTCCTGTGTATGGACTCACCAAGGGAGTAAACTCCAGCTGGTAAAGTCTCTGCAGTCGACATGTTGTCCCAAATTCAGGGAAGTTTTAATTTCTAATAAAAACCAACTGTCCTCTTCTGTACCTGGACTTCTTCTCCTGACTCTAAAAGGCATGCGGTGTGTGTTGAACTTCTGATTCTTTACAGGTGAAAATATCACCTGACTGTGGTCCAGTAAAGTGCAGATTAAATCTCAGCCTGAGTCCTGGCTGTCCAATCAGAGCTGCTCTTTCTCCACAGAGTGAGTATGGTTATGGGCGTTGAGTGCTGCCCTCCACCTGAAGCTGAGCTGACACTTGGAGCACTGGTATGGTTTTTCTCCGGTGTGGATCCTCATGTGCTCCATCATCTTGTCTTTCCTGCTGAAGCATTTGCTGCAGTCAGGGCAGCGGTGCGGCCGCTCGCCACCGTGTGTCTGCATGTGTCTCTGCAGGTGATTGGCCGACACCAAGCGCAGGCCACAGAGCGTGCAGGCATGGCGTTTGCTATCACCTGTGTGCGTCCTCAGGTGCAGCTGGAGGCGTCCTCGCTCTCTGTAGCTGCGGCCACAGTCCATGCAGCTGAACGGACGCTCGCCGCTGTGGACGCGCATGTGACTGCTCAGGTGCTCATTCCTCTTGTAGCACTTCCCGCATTCCACACACTGATGGCGGCGCTCACCTGTGTGGGTCAGCAGGTGGCGCTGCAGGTGGCTCTTAGCAAAGAAGCTCAGGCTACAGAGCTGACAGGTAAAGGGCCGCTCGCCTGTGTGAGTCCTCATGTGCTCCACCAGCGCCTGCCTCTGTAGGAAACACTTCCCACACTCGTGACAGCAGAATGGCCGCTCGCTACCATGAGTCTTCAGGTGAGCTGACAGGATGGATTTACTCTTAAAGCGTTTGTCACAGTCAGAGCACTCGAACGGTTTCTCACCGGTGTGAGTCCTTTGATGGATCCTCAGACGACTCGGACGGTCGAAGCTCTTCGAACACTCGTTACACTGATGCTCCTTCCTCGCTTTAACATCTGCCCGGGCTCTCAGCTTGCCACCTGCCTTCCCGCCGCTGCTCTGTGACGATGACGGATTTCTCCTCCTGGCTTTCTGATGAGGACTAAAGTCTGGATCCTGACAGGACTCTACATCACCATCATCCTCTTCCTCCACCTCAAAACTTAAGTCCGGATCCTGACGGAAGTTTTCATCATCATCATCATCTTCCTGTTCCTCCACCTTAAATCTGAGGCCTGGACCCTGACAACAGTCTACATCGCCATCATCAACTTCCTCCTCCTTGAACGTGAAGTCTGCATCCTGACGATAGTCTTCATCACCATCGCCTTCTTCCACCTTAACCTCCACCTCCTCAAAGAGCTGCTGCTCAGAGGCGCCAACCTCAAAGGATTCTGGGTAACAAGCCCTCTGCTCCTCTGAGTGGAGAAAAAAGATAAATCTTTTTATTCATTTCAAAATAATTCTGCACTTTGACACTTCAGCATGTTGAGCAAAAGAATTCTTTGATTTTTCACCATCTTCTGTTCAAAGGTCAAGGCTAAGTGTTAGATTTGGCTTGGATAGTGTATTGGTGTAAACTTGGTGCTTTTTGCTAGCTGACTAGTTCAGCTAGCAAAAATGGCCTGCAAAAAAAAAAAGAAGAAGAAAATCCAGGTAAGCGATAAACATTTTTTATTGTTGATTAGGGTTTTTCACACATGAAGAGGTTGGGAAGCACTAATCAAGTGCATACTGTGCATACACACTGGTTCTCTATTGCAAGATCGAACATCCTTTAACACTGTACCAATATGTTAAGGCTTGTTGGGCTAATGGGACAAAATAAAATCAGCCTAATTAAAAACAGACACGAAATATGAACATATTTTTTACTAATTTTGTAGCAATAGTACATCATGCCTGTTTCCATGTTTGAACAATATATTAGCTATGACAATTTTGTGACTATATGATTAAAACTAGCAAGCTCATATCATTTTCCTCGCTTAATCGACTGCAGGGTCAACTTCCTGTTTGAATCTTGCCCCACCCACCTATGTGATGTCACACCTATGAGGGCATTCAGTTTTGATTATGTGGTTTCACAGCTATGGCTCAGCAAAAAAAAAAAAAAAAGTTTTTTTAAAAATTTTTTTTCTCTCCCATCAGGTGATAAAATAAACCCCATATAGTTATACTTATACTTAATTCACCCCTACTTGTACTTTATACTTGACCTATTTCTACTCCACTTCATCTCAGAGGTAAACATTGTTCTTTTGACTGCACTGCATGTAACTGACAGCTTTAGGTGCTTTACAGATGCCAGTTTCTGTCCCCTTTCATTGCAGTGAATACCATGTACTTTACCTGTAACATTAGTGGAGTATTTTGACAGTGTGACATTACCGTTAGTACTTTTACTTAAGTACGTTACAGGACCAGAGTACTTCTTCCCCCATTGCATCTGGTACTTGATGCCAAAGTAGTCTGCAGTAACGTAACTTAATGCTATGGACATAAATATGTCCTATTTAATGTACTTATACTTTCAAACACTCCATTTTTAAAGGCACTGATGGTAACGTTACAAATACTGTGTTGTTGTCTCCTGATTACCGGGAACGTTAGCTGTAAACACAGTACCGACGTGTCTCTCACCTCTGTCTCCCTCTATCTGTCCGTGTTTCATGTTTTCCGGTCGCCACAGATCTCCGGTCAGAATGTTTAACTACACAAACACCGGGAGAAAGACTGCCCGGTAACCGCTGCTGATATGCTAACATGCTAAGAGACAACAGCTAAAACCTGTCGCAATAAAAATACAACACTTCCAGTTCACACCTTCACAATAAAACTACGTTTAAACACAACAAACATTTCACAAACTATTCTGTTCACACAAACAGAAAATATAAATTGAACGCTGTAGGGTGTTATCTCTCTTATCTTTGTTGCAGCAGTTCCAGTATTAAATTTTCCTTTTCGTGCAGTATGGAATAGTTTTCATAGTTTTCTTTTGGTGGCCAAAACACGGCCTACCTTTATTTTGAAGGGTACATTGTTTAACGACTGCTCATACTTCCGCAAATACATTAAAATTAAAATTCAATTATTAAGAAGTTTTTACCTCTTAAAAACGGAATAATTTTTTAATTAAGGTGAAAGTTTGAAGGTGGCTTTAATGCTCTTTGGTACATTTTGTGGGATTGTTTCTCTTTAAACGTCTTAAACTGTTACCCTTAGTAATACCTGGAGAAATTTTTAAACAATACAACCAAATTATAAAGGAATACTTATGAAATGGGAATAAACCGAGGCTGATGATGTGTCCAAGGACCGTCAGAAATGTGCAGACAAGTGCATAACTTCTACCTACTCCTTTTCGAATGCTAAATATTTACCTCTGTTACTATGATTGTTTTTTTTTTTTTGTATGACTGATTATTGATCACCTACATTTTGTTGTATTTTATTTATGTCTGAAATAAAGTTGTTTTTTTTAAAAAAAAAAAAATCCAATTATAATTTCTGTTTTTATAGTTTCTAACTGTGATAAATGGTGTAATTTTGGCAATTTTGGGGGAAAACATTGTCGGAAGATGAATAAAAATACAACCATTTAAATTTGTATACCCCTCCCCTAAGCCAAATAATAAACACAAGACCCTACACTGTGCTTTAAAAAATATTTGACATGCCTTCCACTTTACACACCACCCCTTCCCCTTCATAAGTAATGAACAATCCCTTAAGTGAAATATTATGTAGCTGTAAGGTTTTGTTTGTCTCTACTGTTCAAGAGGGTTTTTCTGTCATTTAAGCGTTTTATTGAGGTTTTCCTGTTTTAAGAATATCAACACAAAAAACAAATACATAAACACTAACAGCACAGACTAAACAAAAACAGAGCATTATCTCTGCAGTGTTGATAATAATTCCACCTGCACTGATCCTTAAATCAGTGACCTACACATCAAGCCGGGAAACAAAACAAACAAACAAACAAACAAAAAAGGTCCCTATGACACAGCTAAAACAAAAGAAACTAAAGCCCATTGCCTTCATCTGTATGTTACAATTGAAGTTCTTTTCAGAACAGTGTCTAGCTCTTATGACGTATTTAGTCCTTTATAAAAGACAAAAACTTACCCCAGACAAGCAAATATGACTCTCTACGGTTAAGCAGATTGGCTATTATTAACTCAAATGATGTGTTCTCTGTCATTAACCCACTCTCTATATTCAGGTCTAACTTGACTTTTCTAGTTTTGAAGAATGACCCTAGCGGCTGAGATAAAGTGTCATGGCTAGCACAAAAGCTGGTTTGGGTAGACGTGACCTGTCCCCCAAGAGGCAAAGTTGAACTGATTCAGGAACAGGCATACCCAGCCACTCTTGTATTGTTTTGATTATCTCTCGCCAAAAAGGTAGACTAGAGAACAGGCCCACATTGCATGGATAAAGGTACCTTCCTACTGTTTACATTTCCAGCATAGATTATTTTCTAGTAAACCCATTTTATGAAGACGGACATGTGTAAAATACTATCGATGAAGTATCTTATAATGTATACATATATATATGTACACATATACATTATATATATATATATATATATATATATATGTCTAATATTAAAAATTCTTTGCTGATCTGAAACATTTATGTGTGACAAATATGCAAAATATAAGAAAGAGAATGCCAAGAGTGTGCAAAGCAGTAATCAGAGCAAAGGGTGGCTATTTTGAAGAAACTAGAATATAAAATATGTTTTCAGTTATTTCACCTTTTTTTGTTAAGTACATAACTCCACATGTGTTCATTCATAGTTTTGATGCCTTCAGTGAGAATCTACAATGTAAATAGTCATGAAAATAAAGAAAACGCATTGAATGAGAAGGTGTGTCCAAACTTTTGGCCTGTACTGTATATATATATATATATACACATATACATATATATATATATATGTATATATACAAATATTTCCCTGAGGTTCTCGCAGTAGCCATATATTGTGTTAGCGGTTATCTTAATAAAAGTGGAAGCTGAATGATTACATTTAAAATAGTGCTGTACCATATTATCTTCCTCAGGCAACTGCTTAACTGCATTCCCCAAACTACTCCTTATATCTCCAGAAATCAGATTTATCTTTTAGGCTGAACTGTGCACTGAGTTCTTGATAAGATTTAAATGTTTTATCATCACCCAGATCTGGTGTATTTCTTACACCACAAGACAAACAAGAATGCCAAAAAAAAAAATCACTTTTTTTTGCCCAATTTTGTTGCTGGGTTATTCCAAGGTGAAGAATATACCTACTTATATTGTGAAATCTCTCATAGTTTGTGAGGTTTAGTCAGAGTCAGAGTCAGAGTCAGAGTCAGAATCAGAATCAGAATCGGTTTTATTGCCAAGTAGGTTTTCACATACAAAGAATTTGGCTTGGTGTATTGGTGCTTAACAAAGAATATAAAGTATATAAAAAATATAGAGTAATTAGAGGCATACGTATAAAAAGGAAATACTATAAACAATTTAATATAAAATCTGAATGCAAATAACAATAATAATAGTAATATAAAAAATATTAAAAAAAATATGTACACTGTAAACATGAATATTCTTTGAGTGATGTAAAATTGGATTGGTCTCTTTGCTCCCAGACTTTATTTTGTGATAAAGCTTCAATTGGACTGAGGTTAAGTTCTTGATCTATTTCTGTCCATCCTAAGTGATTACTCTCATTTGTCCAGTGTTTTCAAGAGTACCCAACTGCAGGCAAGATCTGCCTACTTAATAATAGGTTCGTTTGAGATGAGCCAGGCCTGCGCAAATTCGATCACCAGCGATCGGCGCACAATGCATGCCGGTTTGTTTTGTGTCCGACTTCATCCCAACTTGGGGGCTATCCCATTATGTGCGCTTGATCACACTTACGCACTTGGACACTTGACGTGTGCGTCCATGTGCTTAGTGTAAGTGCGCAAGTGTATCCTATTTCTACGCCGACCAAAAGTGCAGTGCGCTTGATTTGTACTTTACCCACACTTACGGTAAGACCGCACCTGAGCGGTATTTGGCTAAGTATAAATCACACAACGCATCAACAGCTGGTGGAGTTCCGCCAACAATCAAGAAGAAGGAGAAGCTGGTGAAGTCTGTGATCGTCAGGATTTCTACTGAGATGCCGCCAAAGAAATTTCAATGTAATGTGATGTAATGTTTTAGAAATTTAACTTTATATCATAGTCCCGTTCTTATCATAGTGTCATGATGGTACATGTTAGGAAGCTTTGTTAATGTGTCTGTGGTGAGGAAATTCATATCAAGCTTTGTCCTGGAATTATTTACTAACAACAGATTTGATCTGAAATAGGGACCACGGAACAAACGTTCCAATTCATAAAATTGAGAACAGAGAACGATTACCTGTTTACAGGGGCAAAAAATACTGCAGCTGATGGATACAGGTGAGTAGTTTGCTCCGTCATTTCTTTTGATTGATGTTTTTATTTCGAACAAGACAAATATTACAAAACTATCACTACAACTATCACTGCTTGATATGCCTAAATCATTTTTACTATTTTATGATAGGCATGTGCTACAGTTGATGGAACTGGACAAGTTGGTCACTGGTGAGCAGGCTAAAAGAAAATGGGAAAATCTAAATTATAAATACAAGGTATAATTTCATTATCATTAATGTATGATAATGTCATTTTTAGTGTTGATGTTGCCTTTTTAAGAATGATATTTATTTGTTTTGAAATGATGTAAATGTATTTTATTTAACTAAATAATGTGAATATGTGTGAAAACCCATGCACCCAGGAACTGAAACAGAAAACCAAACAGACCGGGGCAGGGACCGATGCAGGAGAGGAGGCTGCAGCCACATGGGAATTTTAAGCAGCCATGGATGAGGCCATTGGATCAAGGGCATCAGTTACACCTGTCAACCTTTTTGCATCTGGTGGGCCAGAGGGTGTAGGTCATAAAGAGTCTCACCTGCTTGTTAGCAGCGGACCATCCACCCCCCAGCCCTCCACCAGCGGACCGTCCACCCCCCAGCCCTCCACCGACAGACCACCAAAACGTAAAGCAGGAGGAAGACAAGACTGACCAACAGAATTTTGAAAGAAATGCTGAACAGATGGACAGACTACTTGATATCTTTGGGAAAATCATTGAAAAAATGTAGGCCTCTGCACTACTGTGATTTTTTTGTTGTTTTTTGTTCACTAACAACAATGTAAAAAAATGCATTAAAATTTGAGTTTGACTTGAAAACCTACAATTGTGGTCTAGATTTTTTTAAATATTTTTAGACACAACACATTTGTATTTGTAGGTATATTTTCTTGTTCAATTATTTCTAAGTTAATAAATGGTTAATTGGTTCATCCATCAACCGAGCAATATAGTCACTGCCAAATGTGCAAAATTTATTTTAAAGTGCAGACATGAAAAAGTGCAAACATGTGAAAGAGGTGACACTGTGAACAGAGGTTGTAAATATAATAATACTCCCATCAGTGCTGGCAATAATCACACTCCATCAACTGAGCAGGTGGTGCTACAGGGGCAGACACTTGGGCAGTAAGTCTGTCCCTTATTGGTGTTCCACTCCTCTATCAGAAGTCCACTTCTTCGGGTGGGACAGGTGCTGCTTCACCTGCATCTTCAGCCTCCTCTGGCTCCATAATGTCACCATTGCTGATACAGATGTTGTGAAGAAATGCACAGGCCAATACAACATCTGTGCAAAAGGACAACTGTAACTCCATGGCT